TCTTTCCCTTCAGCACTGTCCGGGTTAAGACTTTTGAGCCAGTAAGGTTGTTAATTTAATCTTCCCATCCATAGAGGCAGTGAGGCAGGTCCCACAGTCCATGGCTGTGCTCCAGTCCACTGTGACAACAGGAGCTCGGTGTCCTCCCAGAGAAAGGCAGGTCTCCAGAACCTTTTCCTCACCATTTAACTGAAAGAAGGAAGGCATAAAATTAAGGAAGCGACTTTCTGCAGTGGGAGCAGTGCACCCACAGGAGAAGCCAAAGCCTACTACAGGCTCCATGTCCCTGTCAGCATACATAATTAAGAAAACAACCAGAGAGATGTTGAGATGTACATAGAGCACACAAGGAAGCAAATTTCCAGTCTCATGACAGAAGCATGTGACATCTCAGCTCCTGACATCAGCTGAGCTGCAGTAATTGAAGAAGGCAGGCTAAGAGCATGTACCTATGAGCAGCACATAAGCCTCAGCTATAGCTTATGTTAGTACAGGTGCTCCAAATTCCCAGATGCAAAGTAAAAATTCCATCTAATCTGCCTTGCAATGGCTTATACTGACAGGTGTTGACTCAAGAGGAGGCAGGCAAGAGGCATGCCATCAGGAATCCCTTGTTACTGCACCACAGAAATTTGGGCACTTGGAAGCATTCAACCTTGCCCTTCATTTCAGTACACAGTAAAAGGAGAGAATCAGGCTGGGACTAACATAGCATCAGCAAGTACACAAGGCAGATGAAAAATAAACATCAGTCGTCAACCCCAGGTTTTGTATTGAACTGGCATGCATCAATTTAAAAAAAAAAAAATTAAAACTTTGTCCAAGACACTTGGGCATTAAGGCAAATTCTGCAGATAAGCTTTAAACACACATGCTCTAACTACACACAGAGGGCCAAATGCTTACAGAGGGTTCAAACACTCACTAAACATCATGCACTGCTAAAATGCATGCTGTATGAGACTGAGCAGCAACTTTTACAGAGCAGGGATGGGCAGGTGCTGACTGAGAACCTCCAGTGGCTGCTGCTGCAGCCTTGTAACAAGAGCTTGTATGGATGCATGAGAGTACACCCCATCTCTTCTCAGACTTACCTTAAAAATCATTCCCCCAGTAGAAGAACATGTCAACATGTAGTTGCCCTCAGAGTCAAAAGCAAAAAGCTTTCCTCGTGGGAACTGGACTTGCTTGTAGCCACTGTACCCAGACAGAACAAAAGGACCTGTAGCTTCGCTGGGAAGATCATACTCTGACACCTTCAAACCACTTTTGTGAATATTCCACTGAATGAACTAGAATGGGAAAAAATAATTACATAAGTCCATAAAGTGACATGAGTTTAAAGCAGAAGGGCCATTTGTCATTTGTAAGCCAAGTGGCTACTCCTCACAAACAAAAGATGGCATTTTGGCATCTGTATCTAAGCGGCTCTATTTATATGACACAGGCTACAAAGGCTCTAAGAGTGCCTACAGTCCAGACAAGCCTTCCACGAGCACTGCTGCCTAGATGTGGTGATCTCAGGGGCACCAAAAGGTCATCTTAACACAGATTCCCTAGGGAGGAATGTCACAACAATATGACCTGCAGACAAGGTTTGAAACAGCTCCAGCTGTTAATACGATTTTGAGCCACTCTGTGTAGAGACTGGATACAGCAGAGTGATGCTACACTCCTAAGAATACAGTTAGCAGCCCACAGATCCTCCAGATCCTGAGAGTATTTTTACTGCTGTCTTGCCCATATGGAAAAGACTCCAGAAGGGATTTCATTGCCAGCTGACCAGTAGAAGGTCCCCCAGAGCCTACCTTGCCATCCTCGCCTATGCTGTAGACTGTGTTCTCATCACAGCTGAACTCGACAGAGTAGACTTCCCCATCATGTGCTTTCCAGCTCATGGCACACTCATGCTGCTGCATATCTGAGGAAAGAACCAGTACTGAACATTCCTTATACAAAGAAAGAGCTGAGGCGAAGACAGAGATGCCTTTTGCATTCATAAGGTCTCTGTCCCAGCCCTCTAAACCAGTCTGGGGGAGCCCAACCCAATCCCAGCTGTTGTGCTTATTCTCTAGCATTTGGCTTTTACACCAGCCACAAAAATCATTGCCTGTAACTAGTCACCTCTTCCTCCAGCTTTACAGGGCTGCTCATGTGCTGCCAGCTGCAGGGATTCTACATCCAGGCCCTACTGCTACCTTTCTTTTCCTACTCCCCCTGCCATCCAGTGCACCTACAAAGCTGCTGCCAGCCCTGTCTTCCCATAGACCTGGGACTGCAGCTTCCAGCTCAGCATCCAGGCAAGAAGCAGATCTCTCATTCACAGAAGAGGGATGCCAGAACTGACTAGCACAATGACAGGGTGAAGAGCGCAAAACCTGAGAAAGACAAATCGCTCAGGGAAGAAAAACTGATGTGAAGCCTTTGCCTTCAACTGGAAGCTCAGGTCACCCTTTAATTCCTTTCCTCAAGACTCCGCTTCTGGCAGGGCTGTTGCTATATGGCACAGCCAAGACCACGTGGCTCAAAGTCAAGTTAACTCTGCTCCTCATCAGGAAAGAGAAATCCAGAAGCACTACCAGGGTCTCCAGCCAATTCTCTCCTAGAGAGAATTTATGTCAATTCACTCCTGAGCTATTATGAGGGAGGAAAAAATAGCTTCCACCTTGGTGTTCAGGCATGTTCCACATCTGCCTCCCTGCTGGCAGAAGAGTGAACGAGAGCTGGCTAAGGACAGCCAGCTGGGAACACTGAGGGGCCACCTTTTTTTGCCAATGACTAGGCCTAACAGGAATGACACAGCCAGCAGGAAGAAAAGACAATCCATGAACAAGTCAATTAGTTCACAAGCAATTGACATTACCCCCAACAACAACATCGCTGGACCCACAATAGGTGGAATAAACAAAGAACCAAGGCTTCCCATAGATGGAATGGGAAACAGCCAGTTTAGGAGATTAAACAAATAAGACAGAGGTGGTCACATGGCCCACTCTCACCCTCCTAGCCTGTGTTTGCAAAGGTCTAACTTGACTGGAGCCCAGTTCCAGGAGAGTCAGGAGGTCCTTCCTCAACAGGAAGCTCTGCAAAGTGCATCCACTTCAGATACACTCTCCTCCCTCCCCACAAGTGGTCCCAGCTTTTATCCCCAAGCAGGACAACTGACCTTTGGTTACTCAATGCAGGACACTTGGGGCTCATTTCCCTTATGGCTCTCCCTGCAGGGCCGGCCGCACCCTGGGGGGAAGCTATAAGGCAAACTCACCACCTCTTTATGAAGGGCTGTGGGAATCACCCATATGTCAATCTTAATTCAGGTCTCAGGGTTCAAACCCCAGCATTTCACCATCCTACTGCCCAGTTTCACAGAATTGTAGAATCATTTTGGTTGGAAAAGACCTTTAAGATCATCAAGTCCAACCATTAGCCTAGCACTACTAAGTCCACCACTAAACCATGTCCCTAAGCAGCACATCTATACATATTCTAAATGCCTCAAGGTACAGCCTCATCAGTGCCAAGTACAAAGGGACAATCAATTCCGTAGTCCTGCTGGCCACACTATTTCTGATACCAGTCAGGATGCTGCTGGCCTTCTTGGCCACTGGGGCACACTGCTAGCTCCTGTTCAGCTGTCTATTGACCGATACCCCCAGGTCCTTTTCCACCGTACCAAAGAGACGAACAATGCCATCTGCAGCCCCGGTGACCAGCAGGTTGCCATTGTGATTGAAGGCTGTGCAGTTTATAGCAATGGGCTCAGGCTCCAGGGAGAACTGCAGCTGGAAGGGAAAGTCTGCATTAGTGCTGAAGAAGAGCTGTGGGTTTTGAGAAGCTGATCTCCAGGGGCCTAGTAGTGAGAACTCCTCCAGTGTGGTGCCCTATACCTCTCATGACTACAGACTTCAAGATTGGAATTTTACTGTGCTACATGTTATTGTGACACTAAACCAACAATTCACCTCAGCCAAGCCAGTTTTCTTGGCCATGGCCTCAAGGCTGCAAAACCAGCTTCTGACAGGCATTAGCTTGAGTATGTTGCTTATGTCCCTCCTAGATGTCAGGGACAGCATTTCTTAAGGACAAACACGAGAGATGGAATGAGGATTCCCTGCCAGAATCTGACCCATCTAAACCAACACAAGGGAGAAGATGACATAAGATGAAACCTCTGAAAGAAGCTTCACTTAAAAGCAGGGAAGGCAGGGGAAATAGCAAAGAAAACCCTTCAATATAGTTCAACTGGAGAAAGCCTGATTAAAACATCATCCAATCCACTCTGGATATTTCCAGCCAGAAACTGCACAGGCAGGATATAAACAAGACTACGAACTATTTTGAAAAATGCCTCAAAAAAATCCAACACACCAACAAAACAAAAACCCCCACCCAAACCCAGCAGCTACTTACACTATGCATTTTTATCCTGCATGTGATAGAGAGGAAGGGAGGAGGGCGGGGGAAAAAGGATATCAAAGAGATCCTTCACACTGAAACAGAAGACACTCCTTCTCAGCAAGCAGACTGAGAAAGGAAAGAAACACAGCAAGTACCTGCTGTTTCATGGTTTTTGTGTCCCACAGTAGCAGTTTCCCAGGAACTTGGTTCATGCTTTTTCCCCCAGAGCTTACTGCCAAGAAGTCCACATGGGAGATGGGGCTCTGGGCTGCTGCAGAACAGACAAAGGAGGCACCACTTGGGCTGCAAGCAAGTGACAGGATCCTGAAACACAGCAAACAGTCTCAGTTGCCTCTCTCTAGCAGCTGCCTCAATCACAACACTCGACTATGAGCCCTCCTGCTAAGATCCTGCAAGACAGGGTACACTACAAAAGAGGGCAGGATTTGGGTGCTCAGACAGATTTTGAGTGTGTCCTGTTTTACTGAGTAGGTTTTATGCTACTCAGACAGGAACTGTCCTCTGGATGAAGGCTAGATACTGCTGCAGTTGCAGGAAAGCAGCAAGAACATTGACACTTCACCTACCTTTTCAAAGTCAAAAATAACATTTTTATATAAAAATCAGTATTCCAGAATTACCTGGGCATGTCTTCATCAATGCTAATTTCACAGAGATTCTTCTTTGCTTCTGTGTCATAAAGACGAACCGTCCCGACCCCACTGCCAAGCAGCAGCTTGAAACCATCAAGGAGATGGAAGGAGTGTGAGTAAGGAGTACAATGATGTTGTCCAACAAACACCAAAACCACAGAGTAATTTTTTTTTTCCTGTTTCTGCATTCAGATTAATCACTACTCCATTAGGGTACATCCTGTCTTCCTGTGCATAGCATGCTGAGTAGGACTACCCCAGAACTACAAATGTCAGAGTAAAAGCACTGCTTTCCAGTAAGAAAAAGATCTGATAGGCACCAAGGTGGAGTAAAAGCCCTTTCTAGAGTACAGCTCAACATTATAGGATGCAAAACATATGTGGAGTCTCAATATCTAGGGGAGCAAGGAAAGAGTAACAGAGAGTTAACGACCTAAGTTTAAAGAGAAAGCCAAATAGAGGCCACCTCCTTTCATCCAGAGGAGAATGAAATCATTCAGAAGGGCTCATACATTCTTTTAGTGATGCTACAATTCAAATCAAAAGTAAAAACCATGGAGGGATGCATTATCAAAGAAAATGAAGCATGCCAGATCCTTCTCACTTCAGAGCCTGATTTGCTGCTTAATACCCATGCAGTTCAGAAAGATCAATCTTCCTATTAGCACACAGGAAATAAACTCCACAAAGCAGAAAAAAACATCAGAACTGCATGAACAACCTTCTTTGTAAGAGCAAAAGAAAAGAGAAACAAGCCATAGCACCAGCTCTTCATAGGTGGCATTTTGAGATTAGCAGCAACATCCCATCAGTGCCCGAATATGAACAATCTTCCCTTGGTTGCAGGCCTTCCTTCTCACACAGCCCTGTCCCTTTGCCAAGGGAGCGCATGAAACACTAGCAACAGCTCTAAGATCCAGAAGAATGCATATTATTTAAAGGCTCCTCTCTAGTAACAGAATTAGAGAAAAAGTGCTACAGGAAACAGTTAAACTGTCATGATATTTAAACATGACCCAAGCTCCTTATGCACCCCAACTCATTAGGCACCAGTATAAAACTGTTCAGAGCCCTTTTCACACCTGCACAAGCAGAATGCCAACACCACATCCCCATTCCTCAACCCTGCTCCTTTCTCTGCTTCTGGCTCAGGGTGCAAGTAAAGGTCCACAGCTCCCTGCTGCAGGGTTCCTGTGACCTGTTATCCCAGGTTGCCTCTGCCTGCCTTCACAGGCAGCTGCCTGCTCTGCCTGAAGAGAGGCGTGAGAATTCTCTTGAAGGAGCTACTTCTGTCCTACAGCTGTACCTTCACTGCAACTTGGGAACTCCCGTCTCAGGGCAACCCATTGTGAATTCCTTGCTCACTCCCCACTCTATTTTCTCTTAGACTCTACAGGCTTCATCAGTTCCCCATGTCCCACCAAAGTGGAAATGAACTGTTGCCCTGATCTTATCCACAACGTAGCTGTCTACAGGTTAAGATGCAGTGCAGCCCCAGATGATCTGCTGTGGCTCTCAATCCACCACTCTCAGACCACTCACCAGCCGATCACGCTTGGTTGCCCATTCCAGAGACAGCAATGGAGATTTGGAAATGGATGAAGCTTTAGTTTGCATTATGGGGTTAAAAGACCAGACTTTGATGACCCCATCCACATCCAGGCTGGCCACCCTCCGTCCAGAACAATCAACCCTATGTGCAGAAGGAAACAGATTGGATATTCTTCTCCCTGAAGTTCTTAGATGCAAACAGATACCCCAGTAATCCTCCCTCTCCTGGCCACACACCAACTCCTTCTGCAGGAATCAGAACTTCCTTACACCACTTCCTGTTCAGTCTACAACAACCAAGACAATGAATTGCACCAAGCTCCACATGCAAATCATAATGCCCTTAAGCAATATCATCCTGCTTTCCCAGGGAGTTTCTTCCCAGCTGGCATCTTCCAGTCACAAAAATCTCTATCCATTCTCATTGCACAAGTTACAGGCTATTTTCAGTTACACCAACTTGACTGCCCTACATCCAAGAGTACATGCACAATGTGCTGGACAGAACAGAGGTTGGAAGGAGGAGGCCAGGCACAGCTGGTCCTCTACAGAGGCTTCTACAAGAAAAGGCTCTTCTGTCAGTCCATTACCTGCAGTACATGATGGATGAATGGTGCTCCCCATACTCGTCCTGGCTGAGGACGATGAAAGGCTGCTCCTGCCGGACCCCTGCCACCTCTGCACTACTGGCAGGCATTTTGGTTGAAGTCTCTGTTTGCTCAGCATGCAGCTCTGAGCATGGCTCTGCCTCAGCTGTGCCAACATCCGTTTTCTTCTCAGCACTGTGGCCCTGAAGGAAGAAATCCTGTGTGAAACACATGAAAGCAGCAGCTCCAGATCCCGCTCTTCAGCCACCCTAGCCTGCTAGGATTTGGAAAAAAAAAAAAAAAAAAACAAAACCAAAACCCGAGAAGCTGCATGGAACCAGAAGAACTGTCATCAAGACACCCCTCCTGCCAGGGGCCTTTCTGAGCACAAGGACGGTGTGTTGCACGACCAGACCATTTAATAGGGCCTCTGATAGAGTCTCTGATATCCCCCTCCATGTGCCCCTCCATACACTTTCCTCTAAGAATTAAAGGAACCACATCATCTCTGTTTCCCTTACCTCAGCTGGTATCAGAGGCTCATTTTGATACCACGAGTACATGGATTCACGAGCAAATCACTTACTGATGACAATAGTAGAAGCAACATGAGTCCAAAAGCTTAAAACTCAATTTGACAGGGCAGAAAGAACAAATGGAGTTTTAGTAGGTGACCGTATCTGAATGTGAAAAGATCTCCACTGCACACACAGAAGTGCTTGAAAACAGCTTAGTCTTCCCTTGCCACCAGAAGCTGGACAAGAAGCAGATACAGCACATAAGACAGTAAAACATCTGCAGGCATTCCTTTGCTAAACCATTTACTGAAGATGAAATGCCCCAAAACAGTATTTGTATTGATGCTTTTGAATCCCAGTTCCCTAACAAATTTCTGCCTTATTTATAGTAGCTTCATATCTTAAGCAATGGGTCAAACATTGTATAGTCAAATCATCTGCAATCACAAAGTTGGAAAAGCTTGGGAAATAAAACCAAGAATGCCTCTCTCTATTAGTTAATGTGTGGAGGTAAGAACCAATGAATTACACTCATGTGAAAGAAAGTGTCACCTTTCAGTTTCCTTTTTTCCTACATGTTGCAAACAACAGAAAACTAAATAGCACCAGCTTCCCCAAGAGCACCAGAAGCAAGTTTTACAAAGCCAAGAAAACACCGCCTTAACCTGAAACATCACAGAAAAAGAAAACTCAAAAGATACTTATTGGGAACTGGGCTTTGCAATTTTCTGAACAATGTTTAATTAAAATGTTTTCAATGAGTCACAAAGAAGAAAGTTCTCTCATAGCCTTGAATGAGCGGTAGAGTAACATCTCCTCTATCAAGCAGCGCTGCCACACACAGCCACACACACTGGCTGACAGGCAAGTCCCTCAACACTGTATCCCCACCAAGGCAGAGTGTCTCATACAGCCAAAATAAACACGGCTGAGATGCTGCCATCGTTCCTCCTGTGCTTTGTCTCCTTGGGCCACAAGGCTGCTGAAAGGTAGACAATACACAGGTGAGCAGAAGCAGTCTGTTTAACAAGCAGTTAAAATCCAAGACACAATTTTATTTCATTATATTAGAAAGCAGGGCACAGCCCCAGGCAAAACTGCAACATACAGTGCAAAAAAACTCAAAAAAGCAAACATTGCTACAAATGATATTTCCACTCCTATCCAAGAAAACTTTCTACCAATTTTTATCTGTCTCAAAGAGTCTGCAGAAACTAGCACAAGGATGCAGAGGAGAGAATTCACCTTGGACAGCACAGGTGCCTGTTGCCACTAAGGAATAGGGATTATTTGAACTTATGCAGTATTTGAACATAAGTATTAAGGTGAAGAAAAACTCTTTCCATGAGCAGCTTGTTGAAAAGATGCTGACAAAAAACAATTCTTACACTTTAACTGTCAATAGTGATTCCCTTCCAGAAACACAGAAATAAACTGAATTTTGGAAGGAGCTGATTAACTGCAGAGATTGGCCTTTGATACAGTTAGATCTGAGGAGCAATTCGGAAGCTTAACTTGTTTTACTACCTAGAACAACAAATTACAGCAATACCAGCCCCCCCAAAGCTTCGCAGCCTTGCAGTGTTGCCCAGTACCTGGGAGATCCCCTTGGACAGGAGTTCCTTCCTTTCCTTCCCATGCTCTTGCAAACGTTTCTGCCGCTGCTGCAGGGAACTTGAGTCACCTGCTACTAATCCACTGAAGTGGCTCTTCCCATCCTTACAGCTCACCGTTCCTTCTTTTCCTTTGGCAATCTGGAAGGCAAGGGGAAAATTTGGCAAAGTTACGCATGTGCTAGGCTGCAGAACAAAGAGGAGAACAGCCAAAGAAACCAAGCTACCTGCAAGGCCTCCACGAGCCCCTAGACAATAGCAGGTTCTTGGGCTGCCTTCAGGCCCAGTAAACACTTGCAAGGAAGAAAAAGGACATTTCATTTTTTCAGTAGGAAGTAAAAGCTTCAAGCAGTTGTCATAGGTACAGGGGCTGGGACCAGTTTATCATTATGTAGGTATAACCAAAAACTGTATATTCTATACCCTCTATGCTATTGCTAATGAGCTGTTAACAAATCATTGGTAGCAGCTGCCCAGGGCACACCTCACACCCCAGGCTACAACAGATAAGGAAAGAGATCAGGGGAGGTGTTAACACCTTCACATCCATCGGGAGGAGTCCTCTCTGCTAATCGACCCAGCTGCACTGACAATAGCCCAGCTCATCAAGGAACCCAAAAGTATCCTACTGTCCACAGACTTAAAGGACCCATGGTGAAACTCCTAGCACTTGAGGGGAGGTACTGGACATTCCCACTGAACCTAGGGATATATAAACTTCGGGGTTTGGGACTTGGGGAACCTCTCATCGGATCCAGAGGGGGAACAGAACTCCAGCAGGACTGTGACTGCCACTCTCGGTGAGACTGCCATCATTCCTTCAACAGAACTGCGACCATCATCCCGACTGACAGGTACCTTCCCTTCTGCTGTGCACCCAGGGGAGCCACGCAGTGCTCAGCACAGGAGCTCATGGGCACCCTGCTGTTCCTGCCCCAGGGTGCTGAGTTGTACTTTGTCCTTGTGGGTCAAAGACAGTATTTTTACCGTGTATCATTGTATATATTGTCATCCTTCCAGTAAATTGTAGCTCTGACTTGTGATCCCCCTAAATTAATTTCTCCTGCCAGTTTACTTTTAAACCAGTGCAATTTTGGTGTCCAGCGTGGGGCACGAGAGGAAAGTCAGAATTACAATTTTATCCTAGGCATTTGTGTATCTGAGTGCAGAAACTCCCTGATCATCATATTGCTCAGTATATTCACGTGGACCCTGTACCTAACACTGTATATATTTCCACCTATGGGGAACTATTTGCCTGTTGTGATGCTCTTCTTAAGGGAAAGATATCAAAATTGCTTTTTTGTTGATATACTGTGTTTATGCCATTGACGACATCAAGGGCAGTGAGTTTCATTTGGAATATATATTCAGTTTTGTTTGCCCGTCCTGGTCTTGGTCACTACATCTGGGGCTTCATTATTAATCGCACCCAGTCTGTAGGGGGAACAGGAAAGAATAGTTTTTCCCCAGCCTTTCACCTCCTTCTTCCCCTTCAGACCTGCTACAACCATTTTTGAAGAAAATGCTGAGCTTTTTCTTGATGTAAAGGACAGCGTATTCCTGTTGTTGTTTCTCCTGTTTCCTCTGCACTGTTTATACCATGCTTAGAATCGGAACAGGCGCTCCCAGAGAAGCAGTCTGGAGGCCTGCCCTGAAAGTGGATAATGCTGAGTGGCATGGGAAGTTGGAGGACATGGGCCAGTATTTGGAGAACTTCTCCAATGATCTGGAAATTCACCCCTGAACAACTGCAGGATCCTGTTAAAGTAATAAGATGTGTGAAGAGAAAATGTTCTGACAGCCCCAGAGACGTGCAGCTTACGGCGACATGCTGGGCCCTGGCCACTGCCTACCGGTCACTGCCTGGTATAGTATAACACCTTCAGGAGGGGGAAGAGAGGAAACAGATCAACAAGCATTGTGTCCACACAAACCAGAGCTGAACACGAGGAGAGAAGTAATCAACAGGCACCTTGTCCACACAAACCACAGCTGAGTCTGAGAGGAGAAAATGCATTGACCAGCACCATGTCCACATGAACCATTACTGAGCCAGAAGGAGAACCAGTCGCCCCTGTCCAGAAAAGAAAATCCAAGACTAAATCAGTTTGCATAGTGGATGACAAGGAAGGGGCAGGACTTTCAACCCTGGCAGAAGAAACAGAGCCAGAAATCATCACTCGGTCCCTATCCCTGGGCGAGCTCCGTGAACTCCAGAGAGAGTTTACACAACAGGCAAACGAGTCCATTCTGACCTGGCTGCTCCGGATCTGGGATGCTGCAGTTAAATGATACAATTCTGGATGGGAGTGAAGCGAGGCAACTAGGATCCCTGTCTCAAGATGTGGTCATTGATCAGGGGATTGGAAAGACAGGAAACTCTCAGCCTCTGGCGGTGACTGTTGTCAAGTGTGAGGGAGAGATACCTTTGTAAAGAGGACCTCCATGTACAGCAAGGACAGTGGAACACGATGGAGCAAGGTATCCGATGCTTGAGAGAATTAGCTGTACTGGAGATAATCTTCTCAGAGGATGAAAGGTTCCCTAAAAGGCCAGATGGTGTCCAGTGCACATACCAGATGTGTTTGAAATCTGCACAGCTTGAGCCAAATAGGTATTCCCACTACTTGGCGACATTGGAATGGAGGGAGGGAGAGAGAGAGAGAGAGAGTGAGAGAGAGAGAGAGAGAGAGAGAGGACAAGGTGGGCACATTGGTCAGCAAATTCAGGATCTATGAGGACACTGTCACTGCCCCATTACAAGCCCATGTCTCATCTGTGGAAACAAAACTGGCCTAACATGTCCAAAGCTTGGAGGAGAAAACTGGAGAAGGCCACTAGAAGCTAAGAGAGGAACTTAAGGAGAGAATCTTCCATATCTCACTAGACAAGAATCTCTGCTATCAGAAGCAGGCATCCCCAGCTAAAGAGAGAGGGTACACTCCATGAGGCAATCTGTGGCTTTATCTCCATGAGCATGGGGAAAATATGAGGAAGTGGGATGAAAACCCACCTTTTTCTTAGCAGCACAAGTACAAGAATTGAGAAGGGGAATGACTACCACAAAGAATACTTCAAGGATAATGCTGCTCTAGTCTCTCGTGGGCAAGACTCCATAGGAGTATAGGAGTGATGATGTTATGTCTGATCCTCTTGAAGGGCCCTCTAGTTCATATTGGCAGGAATGGTGCAATGAGTACCATGACCAGAGTTAGAGGTGCCCTGCCTCTAGCCAGGTAGAGGAGAGGGACAATCGGATCTACTGGACTGTGTGGATCCGGTGGCCTGGCACATCAGACCCACAAAGATGCAAGGCTTTAGTTGACACTGGTGCACAATGCACTCTGATGCCATCGATACGTAGGGCCAGAATCCATCTCCATTTCTGGGGTGACAGGGGGATCCCACCAGCTGACTGTACTGGAAGCTGAAGTGAGCCTGACTGGGAAGGAATGGCATAGACACCCCATTGTGACCAGTCCGGAGGCCCTGTGTATCCCTGGCATAGATTACCTTAGGAATGGGTATTTCAAAGACCCTACAGGACATCGTTGGGTTATTGGGCTAGCTACTGTAGACACAGAAGTTAAGATGGTTGAACACCTTGCCTGGTCTCTCAGAGGACCCTTCTGCAGTGGGACTGCTGAGAGTGGACAAACAATTGGTACCAATGGCCAAAGCAACAGTGCACTGTTGGCAATATCGCACTGACTGACACTCTGTGATGCTCATCCATAAAATGATTTGGAAACTGGAGAGCCAGGGGGTGGTCAGCAAGACTCATTCGCCCTTTAATATATGTCCAGTGTGTATGTCCAGCAGAGATTGGCAACTGGCAGTGGATTACCATAGCCTGAATAAAGTCACACCACCCCTGACTGCTGACATGCTGGACATGCTGGAGCTTCAGTGTGGGCTGAAGTCCAATGCAGCCAGGTAGTATCCCACCACTGACATTGCCAACACCTTTTTCTCTATTCCTTTGGCAGTGGAGTATAGGCCACAACTCACTTTCACCTGGAGGAGTGTGCAGTACACTTGGAATCAACTGCCCCAGGGCTGGAAACATTTGTCATGGACTGATACAGACTGCACTGGAAAAGGGTGAGGCTCCAGAACACTTACAGTACAGGACAACATCCTCCTGCAGGAAGAGTTTTCAAGAAAGGAGAGAAGATAATCCTGATCCTTCTGAAAGCTGGTTTTGCCATTAAACAAAGTAAGGTCAAGGGACCTGCTCAGGAAATCCAGTTCCTAGGAATGAAGTGGCAAGATGGACATCACCAGATTCCAACAGAGGTGATTAACAAAATAGCAGCCATGTCCCCACCAACTAACAAGAAGGAGACAAAGGCTTTCCTAGGCACAGTGGGCTTTTGGAGGATGCATATCCCTGAGTACAGTCAGATTGTAAGTCCTCTTACAATCTGACTTACCTTGTGACACAGAAGAAAAATGACTTCCTGTGGGGCCATGAAAAACAACAAGCCTTTGAACAAATCAAACAAGAGATTGCCTGTGCAGTAGCCATGGGACCAGTCAGGACAGGACAGGATGTGAAAAATGTTCTCTACACTGCAGCCGGGGAGAATGGTCCTTCCTGGAACCTCTGGCAGAAAGTACTTGGTTAGACCTAAGAACAACCACTGGGATTCTGGAGTCAGGGATACAAAGAGGCCAGCTATACCCCAACTGAGAAAGAGACCTTGGTGGCTTATGAAGGAGTTCGAGCTGCCTCAGTTGGCACCAAAGCACAGCTCCTCCAGGCACCTCGACTACCAGTGCTGGGCTGGATGTTCAAAGGAGAAGTTCCTTCTACACATCATGCCACCGATACCATGTGGAGCAAATGCATTGCTCTAATCACACAGCGGGCCCGGAGAGGAAATCCTAATCACCCTGGGATTTTGGAAGCCATCACACAAACTGTCCCGGAGGTGAGTGTTTTGGATTATCCTCTGAAGAAGAGCAGGTGACACATGGTGAGTAGGCCCCACCACATAACCAGCTACTGAAAGAGAAAGACAATATGGTCTCTTCACTGATGGTTTGTGTCGCATTGTCGGGACAAACCATAAGTGGAAAGCAGCTGTATGGAGCCCCACATGGCAAGCTGCAGAAGCAGCTGAAGGACAAGGTAGATCAAGTCAGGTTGCAGAGCTTAAAGCTGTTCAGCTGGCTTTGGATATTGCTGAATGAGAAAAGTGGCCAAGGCTTTACTGCTACACTGACTCATGGATGGTGGCCAATGCTCTGTGGGGAGGGCTAGATCAGTGGAGAAAGGCCAACTTTCCCTCTGCAACACAGAGGGAAACGCATCTGGACTGCAGAGATGTGGGAAGATGTTGCTGCCAGGGTAGAGAAGCTGAGCGTAAAGGTCCATCACGTAGACGCTCACGTACCCAAGAGTCAGGCTAATGAAGAGCATTGCAGTAACATGCAGGTGGATCGAGCTGCCAGGATTAAAATATCTCAGGTAGACCTGGATCAGCAGCACAAGGGAGAGCTGTTCTTAGCTCAATGGGCCCATGATGCTTCCAGTCACCAGGGGAGAGATGTGACATACAGATGGGCTCATGACAGAGGGGTGGATCTAACCACAGACAGTATCTCACAGGTTACCCATAACTGAGACATATGCTGCCTTCAAGCAGGCTACGCAGGTGAAGCCTCTATGGTACAGAGGACAGTGGTTGAAACGTAGGTATGGGGAAGCCTGGCAAATTGACTACATCACACTTCCCCAAACCTGCCAGGGCATGCACTATATGCTGACCCTGTTAGAAGCCACCACTGGAGACACACCCCATGCCTCACACCACTGTCCAGAACACCATCCTGGGCATTGAAAAGCAAGTCTTGTGGTGACATGGTACTCCAGAGAAAATTGAATCTGACAATGGGACCCACTTCAAAACCAGCCTCATAGATGCCTGGGCCAGGCAGCATGGCATGGAGTGAGTGTACCATATCCCCTATCATGCACTGGCTGCTGGGAAAGTTGAGCAGTGCATTGGATTGCTTAAAACCATCTTGAAAGCACTGGGTGGGGGGACTTTCAAGCATTAGGAGCTGAATTTAGCAAAGGCCTCCTAGTTGGTCAACACCCGAGGCTCCATCAATCAAGCTGGTCCTGCCTAGTCAGAACCCTTGCATACTGTAGATAAAGTCCCAGTGGTGCATATAAGGGGAATGTTAGGAAAGACTGTCTGGATCAATCCTACCTCAAGCAAAGGCAGACCCACCCGTGGGATTGTTTTTGCTCAAGGACATGGTTACACTTGGTGGGTCATGCAGAAAGACAGAAAAACATGTTGCATATCTCAAGGGGACCCACTTTTAAGTGAAAGCTCTCTGTAACGTTTCAGTGTATATATATGTATATACCTACACATGGTATTAATTTAAGCATGACATAGATAGTATGGAATAAGGGGTGGATAATGTCATAGTTATGGGGTCTGGGACCAGTTTATCATTATGTGGGTATAACCAAAAACTGTATATTCTATGCCCTCCATGTCATTGCTAATGGGCTGTTAACAAATCATTGGTAGCAGCTGCCCAGGGCACACCTCACACCCCAGGCTATAACAGATAAGGAAAGAGATCAGGGGAGGTGTTAACACCTTCACACCCAGCAGGAGTCATCCTCTCCACTAAAGGACCATCATGGACCCAGCTGCACTGACAATGACACCCTGCTGTTCCTGCCACAGGGTGTTGGGTTGTACTTTTTCCTTGTGGGTCAAAGACAGTATTTTTACTGTGTATCATTGTATATATTGTAATCCTTCCAGTAAATTAGAGAGACCACAAGTCAGAGCTACAAATTCATTTCTCCCGACAGTTTACTTTTAAACCACCACAGCAGTGCTATGCTGGAAATTAACTCCTTGCATACTGAGCTCCTTTCAATGAACACAGTTAAGAATTACCTGCTGATTTGTTGGTTCTTTCTTCCCTAGCAGCATACTGCTTGTCTGTGTTGGAGAAGCCCCACTCGAATGGACTGGTCTGGAAGGGCCCTTTTTACTTTGTGAGAGAAAAGAGGACAGAAAGCCTCCACGGGACTGAAGAGAATGTGCAGTAGTCCTCTGGCTGCAGGCCATATCCCTAATTAAACAAAGCAACCAAAAACACCAAATGGAATATGAAAGTGTAGCCAGACAACCTGATCAAAGACCACCCAATAAGCAAAGTGCCAGCTGTCTGAACCACTGGAGGGCAGATGTTCTTTTTCAAGCCAATGGACCACTATTAAAAAACTGTTTTAAAACATCCTGTAAGTGCCTGGAGCAGATCATTATAATAAATGTATTATAAGTACTGTAAATGTATAATTACTATAACCAAAGCTCACTTCTTGGAGATAACTCTCTCAGTGGGATGCTGAATCCCATGCAGGGCCACCTCAAACTCCATCCACTCCAACTACTTAGTTTAGAAAGACCCTGAGGGAAAAGCAGGGGAATTCCGATCTCCAAGGAACCTATTCAGCTGGGATTCTCAATTCAAGGCATAAACCAGACCTACTTCAAGAAGCATTCAGTATCCAGTCTTTCCCTGAACATCCTTCGATATTCAGTAAGTCACATTCAGCAATTTTAGAGCACAGGCCCTCAATATCTGACAATCTGGACTCAAAGGAAATAGGAAAGTTTAGGTCCACTTCTATGATTACACAAACCTCCCTTCTCAGCCCACAATACAAGAGCAGCTGCTGCTTCCTAGAACATAACTGTCTGACCTCACTCTGCTACAGCTTCCTCTGAGAACAGAGCAGCACAAAGGGGAAAACAATCATCCTTACTGTATCTATCCTCTCTCCTAGGAACTGTTCTACCAAAGCTGTGCTTTAGGTTGAGCAGAGACATGGGAATAGCAACCAGAACCAGCCACCACACTAAGACAAGTTGCATACATAAAAAAAAGTACACTTCTAATGCAAGTTTTTCTAACACAAATGGACAAAATTAATATGGCAATAAATTATCACATCCCTCACATCACTCTCCCCCACATGTGCATATGAACATCAGGGCTTTCCACACAGAAGTTAAATTTAAAATAAAAACAATAATTTTAAAATCTCAGTTTAAACTCTGTAGCCTGTCCTGTGCAGAGCAGGTGTCAAGACAGTTCACCAGACATGCAAGTCTAATCAGACAACTTTTAGACTAAAAGACTTTGTGTGTGGTCTCTGCTACAACTTCTATTTGTCATTGTCAGCAGGATAATTTGATCAACCCCCCTTATGTCTGAATAGAAGCGAAAGAAACACAAGAAAGTCAAAGCCCCAGCAGTGTTACTGGTACTTAGTGGTTAAGCTACATTTGCTTTCAGATGCTTTTAAGGAAAAAAGAAATAAAAATCCCAGTAACACAATGAATTTAAATACACATACTTGGTTCACATAACTACTGGGGGAAAAATAAGTTTAAATCACAATTAAGCAAGCTTGATCATTGTGTATGTTGCTTAATTTGCACAGACAGGAATACAATAGGTGTAGCTATAAAACACACTAACTGCAGCAAGTTTATGAGAAATTCTGTGCATAACTGAGCCTCACAGATGATAAACTCCTTCTTCCTTGACTTTGCAAAAGCAAGAAAGCATCTCTGTAACAATGACCCCTTTGGGTCACAGTAACAGTGTCTACAAAACAACACAGGGCACTCACCTACTGTACTACAAGCACTAAACTAAAAAGAAGCCAAGAGACAATCCGCTTCATCTGAGCAATACTGCAGGGTACTACTGCACTACTACCAGTGCCTTGCCTGCCCAGAACACCATGGTCTAATGTGGAGTGCAGGTCAGAATCACTTCCTTATGTGCTTGGGCTCTCAAGAAATCTCTCTCCCAAATGGTAGGAGAGATGCCCATCATGAATTCCCCCATTAAACCCACTTAGGTCAACAGAACTTCTGCCTGGATGTCTTTCTGCATTGATTCGTAGGGCAGGGAACGAGGAAATGACCCTCCAGGAGCCTCCTTGACCCAAAAAAAGCAGCAGAGCCTGTCCCTAGATCCTTTCCTGCAGGCACTCACAACTCAGAGTCCCCTAGTCGATCCATGTTGGCCACATATGCAGGCAGCTTGTGATGCACAACAGGTTGTTCCACCTCCAGTTCCTCTTTCTTCACGCGGAAGGATTCAGCCTGCAAAGCAAACAGCTACAAGAGAAGAGAGCCAAGTTAACAGAGGATCACGGAGATTCATGTCCTTCTCACTTGCTGAAGTTGTTTACTCCTTTCACTTCAACAGCCCTCCAAGGGTGGGGAGGGAAAAAAGTTGTTCTGACTGGCTGAGCAGTACATTAGTCCTCTTGAGTATTCAAGTCCAAGAGCTCAAAACAGTCCTTTACATGTATGAAACTGGAGCCTACTTGCTCCTCTCCTTGTGCTGTTGATCTAAGGACATTAGTGGTGCTGGGAGACAGCAGTTGGCCAGGGCAGAGCTCATCAGGCACTCCATGCAGGCAGTTGAAGACCAGGGCAATGGACATGCCTGGAAGTAGCAACATTTTGGCACTGAAGGTAATCATCTTTCCACAGACAAGGGCTTGGTGAGCTGGCAGGGCAAACCAAGGCTAGCACCATCAGGTCACCCCAAAATCCAGCTCCACACCCTGATCAGCTCCCTCCCAAACATGACAGTGAGATTTATCTCTACATTAAGGAGAAAGACATTTTTTCTTTCTCCCCCTTAGCACAGAGGAACTTCAGGATGCAGCTTTTTGTGACAGATGTGGTTTATGTCTGTGACTCTTGTTCGCATGAGTTCCTCAGGCTTTCCTGTTTCTGTAAATTTGTTTTTCAGATATAATTCTTTTTTTCCTCTTATCATAGTATTTACAGAAAGAAGTCACAAGAAAAAGGAACTTGAGAAATCTTGCTGTATTCATGTATTTGCATTGTTTCAACAGTGAAATCAGAATCACTACTTAATTTCATCTAGGATCAAAGCAATTATTTATATCATTTTTTTAAACCTGCATTCTATAGGTAGCTGCTTCCTTTTATGACCTGAGTTCTCTGAAAATGAAAGACTAGTCTTACCTCTGCCTATTTGACAGAGAACATTTATTCAGTCTGTAAGTGATAACAATCAACATATCATAAACAAAAAATTGCTTTAATTTGTCTAAGAGTACAGAACACAAAATTGGGGGAAAAAGCGCTATTTGAAAACATACCTTATCCTACTGCCCCTATTCACTGACCACTTTGCTGAACCCTTCTGTCCAGATTTGCCTGTTCCACTAACTCCATACAGTACACAGTGACAAACCTCACTTTTCTTTTGCAAAAGAGCTTCCTTTTTGAAACTGACTGTTCTATTTTACTTCAACACTTTTAGCACAAATGAAGTGATGATCAGCTACCAAAACAAACAGTTGAAACAGGAAGCACAACATACAACAAAGTTCTGTTACACAGGAGGTAAAGCACAAAATTTACTTTACTGAAGTATTCAGAGAGCTTTTACTCAGCATGCTTGAGGAAGTGAAACTAAAGTCCTGCTTGGATGAATAAAGCTTCCCACTTGTACATGATCATCCACATGTGATCTGTAATTTAAAAAGTTCTTCAACTGATTTCCTGAATCTCTTAAATAGGAAATTATACTACAAAAAGACTGACATGTTACATATTCTTAACAGCCTCTCTCTAAAAAATACAGCAAGGAGCTGGGTAACACTTTGTCTGGACCGGTCAGCCCTTCTTACAGCGTACTGTAGCATCTAGAGCTGGGAAACAGACATTCACAACATTTCCATTAGCACATCTAAATTGCTTTAAGTGCACTTCAACCATGGCAAAGTGGTTATTCCACAAGTATCAGTTTCTGCCTCTTTGCCAGATGTTACTGCCCATTTCTACTGCTTTATCAGCTAAAATCTGGAAGTGACTGAAATACTATTCACAAGTTTCCAAGCAAAGTCATATATGCCCTTAAGCTGCCACTGATTTCATCTTGTCTTGACTTTGCAGTGTAGCAGGGAAGGAGTTTGCACAGGATGCAGCCACCTGTCAGAGATCACAGGCAGAGGGACAGTCAACTCCAGCAGAGGGGCAGTAATACCCTAAACAGACATTTCATGATATAATCATAACCCTAAGTTTGCTGGAGACAGTTGAAAGATAAACCAAGATAACAAAGGACTTCTAGAAGAATCAAGACAGATTAAATAACTGAATAACTGAACAGTTAAAATTATTTCTATCCATTCAAGAAAGTTTTACAAAACTCACAGCCTCAAGGAGTCAGCAGCTAAATAGTGACTTTAGTTCTGACCTTATGCCGCAATGATTCATTTTCTTCTTGTATGAGACTGTTCCGGAGACATTCAGCTTCAAAGTTCAAAATGACTGGAACTGGTGAGGAATGTTAAGGAAAACCAAGGCAAGAACTTGTATGCACCTGCCTGAACAAGACAGCAAAGCTGCCCAGTTAACATGTCAGAAGTGGAGGACAGGACAGGTTATGTTACTGCATTAGTGTACAATTGAGAAACCATTCCAAGGTGAGCTGTATTCCAGCTGGAGCTTAAACCTGCCCATCAGCAGACAAAGTCAGAACTCTGTAGTGTGGGACAAAAGCTGTTGTTCCTGCCACCACTGAACAGCCCTATTACAGCAAGCTGTCAGGAGATAATGTTGTGAACCCATGTACCCAGAAAAGGGCCTAACAGGAGATGCTAGTTCAGTTATGGAGCATGACCCAAGGTTGCATGCCTATTTTGTACTACACCAAGCAAAGAGGAAAAGCATTTCAGAACAAGATGTGTACAAGTTTTCTAGCCTCTACCACAGGGATGAGGTCAGCATCACCAACAACCACAACTCTTTGTGCCCAGGGAATATAAGATATCAGATAATTGAACAATCACTATTCAACATCCTCTGGTAAACACCAGCTTCCTATCAAGTCTTGGCTCTAAACATTCATCTGAAAGCAGCAAGTTCTACAAGACTATATTCTTGGCACCACCATTAGTAGTAAGCTTAACACCAGGGCAAGTGAGATGTAACTATTAGCTACAAAAAAGGATATGCATGCACTGAAATAAGACACTCAAGAAGTTGTGCAGAGACACAATAAATGTATCTGCCCACTGGCGTGAGAAATAGGTGGCAAAGGTGGGGTTGGAGTCTGGGGCAGGGAGGAAGGGCAGGACAAACCAATCCTTCCACTCTGCCTGGTTCTGGAGCTCGGAGGCCTGCTTGAGGAAAAACTCCTGCGCCTTGTCATTGCGGCCAGTCTGAAACAAAGCAAGAACAGGGCTCATGCTTCCATTAATGCCACCATGTGTGTCCTAAAACATTTACTCTGAGTTATGAACACATTAATTTCACCACTCAACACAGCAAGTAGTTAAGAGTTGACATATTCATCGGGGAACAAAAGACTCTCAAATACACCAGGAGAAGCTCACAAATGCACTCAAAGGCACTTGACCTCCTTTCTAGTCAGCACAGCTTTGTTCAAAGGCTGAGGCACTAATCACACCAATTTCCAGCTAACCCAGTGCAGCTTGTGCACTGACGTAAGAGGTGAGCATTTGTATACAGCACCGAAGTATACTTCAAATCACTCAACTCTACAGTAGATGTAGCCTGAATATGTTTCCATCTGATACATTATTCAGACAGGACAGCCACGCCTCAGGTTAACCATAGAGCAAAACTTAAAATTAAAAAAACTGCACTTCCAGATAAGTGTGTTAGATTTTGACTCCTCTACTAACACCAATCATTAAAGGTTTTCAGTCAGGGAATGGAATCAAGGAGAAAATATTGCTTCTTAATGGGGAAAAAAAAAAAAAAAAAGAATTCCTGACAGGTATTTATCTATTCTATTTGCCAAAGCCCCCCTGTGTAATATATTCCATTGACTTTCCTGGGTTTTCAACAAGATAATCTCTGCTCCATTTTAAAATTTTTTTTTTTCTGTACTATTCAAATCAAGCAAAAAACATTCACTCATTTTCTCTCCCACATTACCTTGTACAGATTTGAAGCCTGCTTCTCCCCCTCTCTTATAAACTAAAACTCTACCAGCTTCAAGTCCCATTGTTTTCTTCTGGATTCTCCAACTCCCTTGATTTAAGAACTGTGGTGCCTGATAGGAGCGGCTGAGTCCTGATGGCAGGTCAAAGTGGAAGGAATACAGACAATCCTGCCTTTTCATCCCTGGCACTGCTGCTGCCTGCTCAATCATTCCTTTTTCTGCATCAGAGTAGTTTACTACTACTACATTCATACAGGTGCTTGGGGCTTTCTTCTGCCTGTTTCTTCGACTTAAGAAGACTGCTTTCAGCAATGGCCTTGCCCTTCTCCGTTCTCATGGCAATGCCCCTCAAGGTGGTGTTTATAGACCTCGTGATTGCTCCCAGCATCAAAGTTATTAACAGAAGCTGAGCAGGACAGAGCTTGCGGTAGCGCCACCCACTGTGAAAGGGACCTCAGACACCCTCATGTCCAAGCATGAGTCTCTTGCTCCCACCTAACTCTATTTCCCTCTTGCCTGCACATCCCTGCAAACAGCTTAGAAGTTTGTCACATGAGTCTGCAACAAACTCATTACCACACTCGTGATACATGACACATGAACTGCTTGTCCCCTAACCATCAGGCCTGCCAAGAGCATTCTAAAGCAGTGGTTCCAGAGATTAGGATCTTTTTAAAAGAGAAGTCTAAAAAAACATAATTTTAATTTAAAAACCAAACACCACCTGAACAGTATGGACAAGGTAGTATCGGAACAAGCTGGTTTTCAGCTTGTTCACTGTTGGCCTGTACACATCTTCCAAGCGGCTGAAAAGACGTCGGTCCAGATAACTCCAGTAATCCCGCAGGGCAACCAGATCATAGCTCTGAACAAACTGCTGCAGCTGGTCCACTATCTTATCTACCTAAAGAGGGCAAAAGAGAGAGGACTACAGTCACATGAGGGCTCTTCTGGAACAAGAGACTTTCTGTAACTTAATGCTGAGAAGCTTTAACTGTGCAAATAACACCAGAAACCAGCATTTATGCATTAGCTATGTTCCTAATCCTGGAAACATTCTGCCTTTTGTGTTAGCATACTTCCACTCTGGAGTACATTTCAAATTAAAAAAAAAAAAAAGCAAGAAACATAAAAAAATAGCCTAACAGATCTTGCCTAGATAATCACATTTTGTTAAACACAGTTGATGGGCTTTTTTGGAAGCAAGCAAAACTTTCCACTTCTTTTAGAAGACAGTTGATAACTAACAAACAGGAATAATCTAATTAAATGTTGAAAACTCAAGTACAGCACCTGGAAAATATTATTATTTTTAGACTAAAGAGAAAAAAAAATGTATTTAGCCAACAGAAAAAGGAAGAAAGATCCATTGTACTACGATCTTCAGAGCACCTATAGTAACATTATCTTCAGAGAAGCATAAAAGTTCACAGAAGAATTATTTTTTGTCACTGTATCTTTGAAAATAATTTCTGCAATAGGAATAAGGCAGAATGGTAGTGTGGGAATAGATATTTCCCTCAGTGATTTCTGATGGTCAAGACAGGCACTAGGAAAAAAATAATCTGCACCCTATTCAAAATTCAACTAATAAAGTTATTTACTATGTGGTTTGCTCATCCCTCATCAGTTAATGTCTTAGAACACCATCCAGCCTCTATCTCTGTGGCTTCTGACAAAAGGAAGGAAAAGGGAGGACATAGAGCAGAAAGGAAACTGAAGTCTGTGACCCCAGCAGTCCCTTCTCAGACAATGTAAGTCCAATTAAATTAACTGTTGGCTGACCTCTAGCCATCAGCAAAGTGCTGCTGTTCTGAAAATAAAAGGAACATGCTTTGTGAGTGATAAAGGTCATGATCATACTGCTGGTTAAAGAAAAATCTGACCCTTCAAACCCCTGCGTGCAGTGCCCCTAATTGTGGCTACAGGAACACGAAGCTCGCACAAAGAACTGAAACTATATTTTCGAGGCTGGTAAATTCGGCACCAATTTCCACGCACCCAGCGTGGTAGCTGGTGCTTAAGACATCGAAAGTAGGGAGCGGAGCCGCAAAGCTGCGGGATAAAGATCTCAGGGCTGAGAAATGATCCAGGCAGA